TGTGTGTGTATGAGAATGATGATAGATGGACTGACTGGTGTCAATCTCCCTGAGTCTTAAGTCAATAAAATTCAGTTGAAGTTCTTTTCGTTTATTGTTCTCAAACTACTACATGACAAGCCAAGATTGTAATCTACTCCCTCTTTGAAAGCATACAGCTTAGCCAATTTATCAGTTCTATCATGCATCTGAAGACCAATGTGAGATGGAATCCACAGCATGTGCACTCTGACTCCACTGTCCACAATCTTACCATACCTATGTCTGGCTTCTGACACAAGCATGCCACAATTTATACTTAATGAGTTGAGAGCATTTATGGATGACAGAGAATCAGTTACAATTAAACTGTCAATCTTAGATACATAGATGCATTTCAGTGCAAGGAGTATGGCAAACAGTTCTGTCTGAAGGGTAGAGGCCCAATTATTGATGCGTGCTCCAAATTCTTTAAGAGAGCCATCACTCTGTACGACAACAGCAGCACTACCAGCTGCACCAGTGGATTGGTGAACAGAACCATCAACGTAAATAATTTGCGAGAGTGTGTGCTGTGTGACTAAGTTATCAATACAGCTTAAAGCATCATGTTTGGCTTCAAGGCGAAGTTTTGGTTGTGATTTAAGAAGTAGTTTGGGGAGAAATGGAGGAATGGTAGATTGGAATGGGGTAATATCCCATGGCAATTGGAAGACAAACAAATTCAGTTTATCCTCTTAAAGGTATCCCTTCTGAGAATCTCAGTAATTACTTTGCTTTACAAGAATGTTAAAGTTTGCAATCTTTGACATCACCTCTAACACTCTAGTTATGATTATGACGTTTTGGATTTTTTACAAAACAATGATAATAATAATAATAATAATAATAATAATAATAATAATAATAATAATAATAATAATAATAATAATTAAACCTGTCACTGTATGATAGGTATGCCAGGTATGACACACCAACCCCCGGTACCTCAACCCATGCAACAGGCCTATAGTAATTGCACTTCACAACCCACAAAATGCAGAGAAGTGCAGCTCAGCTGCGTGTGTGTGTGTGTGTGTGTGTGTGTGTGTGTGTGTGTACTCACCTAGTTGAGGTTGCAGGGGTCGATTCAAAGCTCCTGGCCCCGCCTCTTCACTGGTCGCTACTAGGTCACTCTCCCTGAAACGTAAGCTTTATCATACCTCTGCTTACAGCTATGTATGGATCCTACCTCCACTACATCGCTTCCCAAACTATTCCACTTCCTGACTGCTCTGTGGCTGAAGAAATAGTGTAGATGATTCATTACCTCTGTAACTTGCCATGATTGTGACCAGATCTACCTGGAGTTCATTACCTTTGTAACTTGCTCGGCTATCAAAACTTTGGGGTCCAGTCCCTGGACCCATTAATACCTCTGTAATCTTTTGACTACCACCCACAGGATGGGTATGGTGTGCATAATAAACATATTAAACTAAACAGCTCCCTGGAGAGAACTGTGAACGATAAGTCAACCCTCCCTCCCAAGAGGTCTACAACTGAGATCAAAATATGTAAGATGCCTGCGAGTTTTTAAATGAGTAGGTAAGTTTATTTGGGTATAATTTTACACAATTTTGGATGATAACAATTGCCTTACACAGTAAGATGTGTAAACTACCAAGGATAACAGATCCAAAAAGGCAAAGTTATGTTTCCATTTCTTTTAAAAACTTCATTGTGTTTAGCAGCCTGACTTTCAGATACAGTACAAATCCATTATGATTTTTAATAATAACAACACACTCAGTAAATCAAATACATGAAAAAGAAAATAAGATGGCTCTGTAAGAAATTACATGCCTCGTTTTCTGTAGCTTCACTTACTAATCTTAAAAATATGAGATGAATCATATTCTGAAATTTGGCTTGGTACATCCGTAGAATTTTTATACTCACTTTACATCTGGTATACATAAATATAGTTATAGAATTATCATGCATAGCAGCATATGTGTAGAGTATACCTGCCATTAGTTTTCTAGGAAAGATGTATCGGTCTCTGTTATATCGCGGAAACTAATTTATTTATCTTTATGAAACTCGGACCAGCTAATCTGTTATGCAAGAGTATATACTTGAGAACTGCTTTGTACAAAATATAATTAAGTTAGGTTGTCGACAGTCAGTGCCTTCTTGCTACCGGATCTTTCAGTTATAAACCGAATAATTTACCACTAAGCTACTGATGGAGTCCATTGACTTAATTGTCAGTGAAAAGCAGCATATTCTTTTCTATGTGCTTTCTTCATCATAACTTTCAACAGGTCAAGTGCTACATAGCGATGCTGAGGACGAAATGCAAGGAATGAAAAAGAAAAGGCAAGTGCCTTAAGCCAGTGATTCCACTGGCTTAAGGCACTATGGACGAAGTCCATAGTCGTGGAGATTCTCCACGACTATGGTGCTGTTCGCACCTACTCCTAGGTTGAGGGACTGATTACCTCATCTTCTGTACATAGTTCTACTGTCTTCAAGTTATGTCCTGGAATTTGTATTGATAAAGCCACTGGATGGCGAAACGTCTACAATAAAGATACCCAGATGTTGCACATGTGTCTTACTCTCATCACAATACATGCTGCTCAAAGAACGTTTATCCCTTATAAGGAAATTAGATCAAATAGAAATGACCCAAAATGGATGAATAATAGGCTGAAATATCTACTAGGGCATAAGAAAGGAATTTATAGGCGTATCAAAAGAGGCGAGGGTCATCTTATGAATCAGTATATTGACATTAAGAGGGACATTAAAAAGGGGATAAGAAAAGCTAAAAGGGACTATGAAATTAAAGTTGCTAGGGATTCTAAAACTAACCCAAAAAGTTTTTTCCAGTCTATAGAACAAAAGTCAGAGATAAGATAGGTCCCCTTAAAAATAACTATGGGCATCTTACTGACAAAGAGAATGAAATGTGCTCGATTTTAAAAAATTATTTTCTCTCGGTTTTTACGCAGGAAGACACTAATATATATTCCGGTAATTAATTTTTATAGTGGATCAGAAGAAGATAAATTATGTAACATCACAGTCACTAGTGAAATGGTTGTGAAGCAGATAGACAGACTGAAGCAAAATAAGTCACCGGGTCCTGATGAGGTTTTTTCAAGGGTTCTAAAGGAATGCAAAATGGAAGTCTGTGAACCATTAACTAATATTTTTAATTTATCTCTTCAAACAGGTGCAGTGTCTGATATGTGGAAGATGGCTAATGTAATTCCTATTTTAAAACAGGGGACAAGTCTTTACCGTCAAATTACCGCCCAATAAGCCTGACCTCAATTGTAGGCAAATTACTAGAGTCAATTATAGCTGAGATTATAAGAAGCCATCTCGATAAGCATAGCTTGATTAATGATACTCAGCATGGATTCACAAGAGGCCGGTCTTGTCTAACTAATTTATTAACTTTCTTCAGTAAAGCTTTTGAGGCTGTTGACCACAATAAAGAATTTGATATTATTTACTTAGATTTTAGTAAGGCATTTGATAGAGTTCCGCACCAAAGACTGTTGAAGAAAGTAGCAGCTCATGGCATTGGGGGGAGGGTGCTCTCGTGGATCGAATCATGGCTCACAGACAGGAAGCAAAGAGTGTCCATAAATGGGTTAAATCCGAGTGGGATCAGTAACAAGTGGCGTTCCACAGGGATCAGTCTTGGGCCCGTTGCTGTTTATAATATATATCAATGATCTTGATGAAGGAATTACTAGTGATATGAGCAAATTCGCCGATGACACGAAGATAGTAGGATAATTGATTCAAACGTAGATGTTAGGGAACTTCAGGAGGATTTAGACAAACTCTACTCTTGGTCAGAAAAGTGGCAGATGCAGTTCAATGTAGATAAATGCAAGGTTCTGAAGCTCGGGAGTGTCCATAACCCTAGCACCTATAAGTTAAATAATGTAGAACTTAACCATACAGATTGCGAAAAGGACTTGGGGTTATGGTAAGCAGCAACCTTAAACCAAGACAACAATGCCTAAGCGTACGTAATAAGGCAAATAGATACTGGGATTTATATCAAGAAGTGTAAGCAACAGAAGTCCAGAGGTCATACTGCAGCTTTATACATCATTAGTAAGGCCTCACCTAGATTATGCAGCTCAATTCTGGTCCTCCATATTACAGAATGGACATAAATTCGTTAGAAAACATTCAGCGTAGGATGACTAAATTAGTATATAGCATTAGAAATCTTCCTTATGAAGAAAGATTGAAGACTCTTAAGTTACATTCACTTGTTAGACGAAGAATGAGGGGAGACCTGATCGAAGTGTATAATGGAAGATAGGTATTAATAAAGGGGATATTAACAAGGTCTTGAGGATATCTCTCCAAGAGAGAACCCGCAGTAATGGATTTAAATTAGATAAGTTTAGATTTAGAAAGACATAGGAAAGTATTGGTTTGGAAATAGGGTAGTAGATGAGTGGAACAGTCTACCTAGTTGGGTTATTGAGGCTAGACTTGGGTAGTTTCAAATTTAGGTTGGATAAATACATGAGTGGGATGGGTTGGATTTGAGTGGGACTTGCACATCAGAGCTTATTTCTTGGGTAGCATTGAAAATTGGGTAGGTCAAATGTTTGTTAGTGGGATGAATTGTAAAGGACCTGCCTAGTATGGGCCAACAGGCCTGCTGCAGTGTTCCTCCTTTCTTATGTTCTTATGTTCTTATGTTCTGCCTCTCCTAACCCCACCCCTCACACATCCCTGCCCCTCACACACCCCTACCCTTACATGCCCCTGCTTCTCTCACACCCCTACCCTTTGCACATTCCTACTTTCGCAGAATAACCCTTATGGTTTTAGCACTTAAATTGATAATAAAGCAGCACTGTGTGACCCGTTCAGGTTTAGCGCTTGATTTTATTATTATTATTATTATTATTATTATTATTAGTATTATTTATTGATCATGATAAAAATTCTCTCTAGAGGAACATGTTTCATTTAAAATTCCCGCCCATACCCGGCTGCAGCTTCCCTAGGGCCGCCTCTCGGGAGGCGCAACTTTTGGTGGCCCTCAACAACCCTCCCAGTATCAACAATAACAACATTGACATTATAATTTTTCTGTCTAGTCGTTAGTCCGGATGATCCTGTTTCTTTATACTCCTAGGATGGGCGCTCTTTAAACCCAAGATTTATTACTAAGGTTGCCGTAGCTTCTATGACACAACAGGAGAGGAAGGAAACCTGCAAGTGCACCACACGTGTCCTGCAAGAAAGCTACATTTGTTATACATTTCCAATAGGACTTCATTTGTAATACAGTACATAATAGTAAGTCTTGATGCTCTGTAACTCATACGCATTTAGCACTTTTTTTATTATATAAAACCCTTGGCCTTGCCGTCCCTTCCTTGGATCGAACCTAAATGGAAATAGGCTCAAGGACCCCAGTGGAAATATGTCACTTTGGCTTTTTTGGGTTATCCTAAGTGATCTACACATATGCTACTATGTATGATAATGTATGTAAGTTTATTTATGTGTACTTGTACCTGAATAAACTTAATGCCTCCCATTCTCCGAGGCTCTATATGATCCTTACAGTTTTAGCACTTTACCATGGCTAGTAATAATAATAATAATAATTTACAAATCCTTGCTATGTCTCATTCAGTTACTAAATAAACATAATTTCTATATTTTTTTATTACTGATTTTGGTATCTATAATATGGCTAAAATTACTCCTAAAGTCGGTTCCTGACCAGCCGGGCTGTGGCTCGTACGTTGGTTTGCGTGCAGCCAGCAGCAACAGCCTGGTTGATCAGGCTCTGATCCACCAGGAGGCCTGGTCACAGACCGGGCCGCGGGGGCGTTGACCCCCGGAACTCTCTCCAGGTAAACTCCAGGTAACTGTATCCTTGAATACTAAGATGTACAAGAACTCCTAAATCCAATACTTATCACTAACAAAGTCTAATATAAGTTAACCCTTCATAAACAAATGAAACAATAGTGGGTAATTAAGCTGAAATATGTATCGTATACAAAATTGGAATATGTAATATATATATCCCTTGAACGGGGCTGCCTTGATGTTCAAGGGCTCTTCATCCAAGGAATATTGAGTAAATCCTATTTCCTAGATGAAACTCAATTTCCTCAAATTATCCAGCACTGTACAATCTTTTACATATTCAGTTGAACTAACAACAATCTCTTTTTTATAATTAGCAACTACATACTAAATATATTAATAATCCTCTGTATACTTTCTAGTACTTTCAGGTTATAACCATGGAAATTCAACTAGCGAGTGAACTCCCTCGAGTGAAGGCAATGGTTGGTGCCCAAGGTTCGTCAAGACCTAGGCTAGTTACTCCAGGAGAGGTGATATCCCAAGATACTAGTTTTATGAGGTAACTATAGCTTTATTAAGGTACATTAAAATATTCTGAATCATTGAAATGATGAATTTTAAGGAGGGCCAATAAGATAAAGTAGTAGAGCATTGGCTTCATTTAAATATGGAAATACTGTAATTGGGAAATAAAAGGGAGGTCTCACTTTTCTTCCTTATTTGTTCATTAATTTGACTATGTCATTTAATAGTCTCAATATTCTCCCATTATCATTACAATAAATAGTATACTTTTTCTAATTTTTTAAAATTCTCTGCATTTTGGTTCATAAATTCAGTATCTAGTGAGGAGACTATTTTATTTGTACTGTATGTATATATTCTGGTATGCATTTCTTAATTATCAGGTAAATTAACAAGAAAAACTACTGTAATTTTAATATTTAGTTGCTAGTTTAGTATCTTCTCCATGGGGAAGTGGAACAGAATTCTTCCTCCGTAAGCCATGCGTGTTGTAAGAGGCGACTAAAATGCCGGGAGCAAGGGGCTAGTAACCCCTTCTCCTGTATATATTACTAAATTTGAAAGGAGAAACTTTGGTTTTTTCTTTTGGGCCACCCTGCCTCGGTGGGATACGGCCGGTGTGTTGAAAGAAAGAAGTTTAGTATCTGTTAATACTATGAAAGAAAGACAAATGTTGGTAGGAATAGAATATAAAAATACATATGCATTATACATGTACTTATTTTTCAGAGGTCATGGCACATATATGGAAGAAGGTGTTCAGGTAGCATCAGTTGCAGGTTATGTAACTCGAGTAAATCGTCTCATAACTGTGACCCCCTTGCGCCAGGTATATCAAGGTATAAGGCTAATTTCACGTACTGTTAAAACAATTTGGAACTTTGTGCATATTGCTGGATACTGTGTTAAGTTTTTATTGAGAAACAGATTCAGAAAATTTGAAATATTTTGAGTGTTTTCTGTACTGTACTTATTTTATTTTGATGACATTAGTTCTATCATCAGTACACAAATGCAGTGTACCATATATCTACTATGTTCAGTTCCAAAGATTTACCATTTTTGCACAAATTCAGTGGCAAGTACAGACACTAATCACAAAGTTCTTTGACTTACTTCCATCAGGTATCATAGACATCTCACCTTACTCATTGTCATAATTGGTATAGTGCATTGGCATTTTAAAAGAATGTTTTTTTTATTAGTACAGGATAGATACTGCAGTACCATACAGTATTCAGCAAGGTTATTAATAGGACTTGATATTAAGTTGAGGTACAAAGTTGTGAATGAGTTTTCATTAACAGGTGCAGTTGGTGATACAATTGTTGGACGCATTACACAAGTCCAGAACAACAGGTGGAAAGTTGATGTAAATTCAAGATTGGATGCAGAGCTCAGACTGTCAAATATTCACTTACCAGGAGGAGAACAGGTAAATGAGATTTACACCTTCAAAAGGTTTAGGTGCTAGGTAAACAGAAAGTATAATACAGTGGTACCTCAATATACATCCTTAATCCATTCCAGGACCTTGGACTTATACCACACGGGACGTATACCAAATGAATTTTCCCATAAGAAATACAGTGGACCACCGCTTTACGATCACCTCCCAATGCGACCAATTATGTAAGTGTATTTATGTAAGTGCGTTTGTACGTGTATGTTTGGGAGTCTGAAATGGACTAATCTAATTCACAATATTCCTTACGGGAACAAATTCGTTCATTACTAGCACCTGAACATACTTCTGGAATGAAATATCGTAAACCGGGGGTCCACTGTATAGGGAAAACGATTAATCCACTCCCGTGAAAAAATCTTATTGTTATTGGCATATTATACATTGATGGGGTTGTTTAAAATAATTTAAACACTGCTTAATACTAAAATATGTAACTTAAACACTGCTTAATACTAAAATACACACATAAATTAGATGAAATAAATGCAAATTTAACCTCACTTTGCTTAAAAAAGTCGAGTGCCTACTAGGATGGTGCTGAGAAGAGAGAGAAGGAAATGTTATTGTTTGGAAGGAGTCTCCTTCTCTTTTCTGTCTCTTTTCCTTATTTGGACCTGGTTGAAGCTCCTCAGGTTTGACTTTTACTAAAAATCTGTCCAAAGAACTTTGCTTCTGCCTTCTCCTCAGAATGTTTTGGAAATGTGACATTGTCCTTGATAAATGAAGTAGGGGCTTCCTTTATCTCCTTTTCCAAGCCTGAAGAGAGTGCATCCATCTTAGTCTTCTGCACCTCCTTCTCAAGTTCCTGCAGCTCCTCAGTGGTCAGCTCTTCCCTGTGCCCCTCCACATCACCATCACTCACATCCAGACCCATTGGCCTGCCCAGTTGTGGCTTTGTCTCAAATGAGAGGTCGTGACTCATTTTGACCCATATAAGTTCTAGCACGCAAATCATATTCCAAGCAAAGGTCGTATACCAAGCAAAAATTTTCGCATCCAAACAGGACGTATACCAAGTTGGACTTATTCCATAGTGGACGTATACCGAGGTACCACTGTAGTTGCATATAGATCTGTACTGTGTTCATATTTTAAATTCACTTGTGCCTCTTGAAAAAAGTCTCTTGCTATTCACGTTCATTTTAGCAAAATTTTGTACCTTAAGTGTTTCTGGTTAGTGCCTCAGAGCATTTCTGTAAATGTTTAACATTATAATATAAGCTTTTTTTTAACACATCTGCTGTCTTCCATTGAGGTAAGGTGCCCCCCCCCCAAAAAAAAAAAAAAAAAAAAAGAAAGAAACACTTTCACCATCATCTTGCCAGAGGTGTTCCAATACTACAGCTCAGATACCCCTCCAAACTCCAAATATCCCCACCTATCCCTCAGAGTACAGGCACTGTACTTCTTACCTCCAGGACCCCATTCCAGCTAACCTCCACTCCTATCAAACATGCTCACAGAGTGATAAGAGTGATGATGAGCAGTATTCTTATTTTTTGGGTCACTACCTTGGGAGATGGCCGGTGCTTTATAAAAAAAAAAAAAAGTGTGTGTATTTGCATGCATGTGTGCATATATATGTCCTTAATGACAGATTGTTCATATACTACCAAGGGATGGGAGGGGCTTTGAGATAACCTGCTCAAATTGCTTTTGTGAGCATAGTTGCTGCTCCTCCTTCCCTCTATGATCATGTTGCTTTATAAATGCCTTCATATGAACTATCATGTATAAGCATTTCTGTTTTATTTTGAAATTTTAGCGACGAAGCAATTTGGAGGATGAGCGTGGCATGCGAGGGCTGCTGAAAAATGGTGACTTGGTTTGTGTGGAAGTTCAAAAGATTACTGATGATGGATTACTAAGACTTGCTGCTCGATCTACCAAGTTTGGAAAGGTTTGTTGAGTAAAGTATTATGTATTTCCCATTCTGGTTAGTAGGTTCTTATTAATCATAAAATATATATGCACTGTAAAGTAATATATGCTGAATAACCCACAAATTTAATAATTTAATACTTTGGGTAACATAATCCCATCAATGACTATTTTTTAATGTTATAATCATAAATACAGAGATTAAATTAATAAGTTGAGGGAATGTTTGAAAGATTAGGAAATACTGTATAAAATATGTTATACGATAGCATAATGTTGGAGTATTTTGAAGTGACATATACGAATGTGTAAAAACAAAGTTTTTTTTATTTTTTTATTATCACACTGGCCGATTCCCACCAAGGCAGGGTGGCCCGAAAAAGAAAAACTTTCACCATCATTCACTCCATCACTGTCTTGCCAGAAGGGTGCTTTACACTACAGTTTTTAAACTGCAACATTAACACCCCTCCTTCAGAGTGCAGGCACTGTACTTCCCATCTCCAGGACTCAAGTCCGGCCTGCCGGTTTCCCTGAATCCCTTCATAAATGTTACTTTGCTCACACTCCAACAGCACGTCAAGTATTAAAAACCATTTGTCTCCATTCACTCCTATCAAACACGCTCACGCATGCCTGCTGGAAGTCCAAGCCCCTCGCACACAAAACCTCCTTTACCCCCTCCCTCCAACCCTTCCTAGGCCGACCCCTACCCTGCCTTCCTTCCACTACAGACTGATACACTCTTGAAGTCATTCTGTTTCGCTCCATTCTCTCTACATGTCCGAACCACCTCAACAACCCTTCCTCAGCCCTCTGGACAACAGTCCTTCAAAGGTAGTTACTGATGAAACTGTTTTAGAAATGAAGTAGAATAAATGTGCGTAGTCAAGTACAGTTATAACGTCATCGTAACAATTTGGATTAGTCAAGAAGACACTGCATGACTGGAATGTATTGTTTGCAAATATGTCTGCAAAGGTTTGATTTGTTTGCTTGTGATTTTTAAGTATTATTTCTTACACAAATATTGTTCTTGACTTTAGTTTCATTTTTGTACATTAAAATACATAATTTAATTGTACTGCATTTATAAATTGTTTGATTAGGTATTTATTGATTTTAATTATGCTTTGTGTGAATTTTGCCCAGGTTCATGCACTTTTAATGTGCTTTGTAATAATTATTACAATTAATACCTGTTGTTGTTTACTTGGCAGCTGTCCCAAGGCACCTTGTTGGCTGTGTCACCGTCACTTATTGTGCAGGATAAGCAGAGGATGCACGACCTTCCGTGTGGTGCACGAGTTGTCTTTGGAGCAAATGGTTATGTATACATAACACCAATAATTCCCCAGGAACAATCCTCATCCTACACAGTGAACTTTGAAGAGGTAATATCTTGTTTCATATGACTTTGTGTTGTTCATTTTAAAAAGCTGAACACATACCTGTTATTTAGATGCTCTTGTTTATCTAGTATTTTTTAGCACAGTAGCCTTTTATAGGGGAAACTCTGTTAGCACTTCTTGTGTTTCTTTTATTCTTGGTGTGTGTGTGTGTGAGATTTCAGTTTGTATTTCCACAGGTCCCTGTTGACATTCGGAAAACAATTGGACGTTTACGCAACTGTATTAAACTTTTGGCGCATCATTCTATTATGATCTCCCCAACAAGTGTTATGGCAGCTTTTGATCTCTCCACCGAACAAGAATATGAGGTAAGCTATTGATCTATGCAATTTGTAAATCCATATTACAGTAATTAATAAAATTAAAATATGCAGACCTAATACAGTATTACAATAGCATCTCTCTTTCAGTAGTATGTCTTCCATTCTGTCAAATGATACCAAGAAACAGCCAATAAAACCATATAAAAAATCCTAGAAAACATCTCAAATTTCCTATTTTAAATCAAACACAAGGTCAAGGTTTTGCTTTTCCCATCATGCACCATGTAGGGCAGGATTCTTTTTATACTGTGCACAGTGACTGCACAGACCCATTTTCTCATATCTAGGCCAAAATTTACTGCTATCAGCTTATCTGAGTGAGCTGAGGTCAAGACATAGATCTACCCTGGCATCAGTAATGAAGGTCTACATGACAGACAGTGAAAGGGTGAAAATTTATTTTTTTAGGCTTACAACTCCTCTTTCTCAATTTAACCCTGACCTTTGAAGCACTATACTATATGAACACCAAATCTTCTTGGATCATTATTTGACCTTTGTTTCAAATTTAATACAAATAAGCCATTCACAGTATGAGGCATATTTAGAGAATTGCTACCTAAAGTTTAGTAATCCTACTGGTCTTAATAATTCTGACTGATTTATTCATAATTGTAGTTATCCCTAGGCACTCAAGATGTGGGATGTGCAAAAAAATGTTTGCTAAAGAGGGATTCTTCTATTTCTGAAGCTGTTTTCATAGATTACAATGCCTGAATTTTACTGTTTCAACCTTAATATATTGATAGAAGTTCTTAAAATTTGAAGCAGCAGGCTTAATGATAGAATAAATTCATATGATATTGATAAAAAAATGTTGAAAATGGGATAAAATTCATTATTTTATTTAAAATTCATACACACTATAAAAATATCAACAAGGCATCCATTGCAATGTATGTTGGTGATATTAAAAATATCTTACCTGAATTAATTATTTAACTTGATTTTTTCCTCAGGTGAAGGACTTGTTAAAGCCAAATATAATGCAGCATATAGCCATGACAACAGTACAGATGATGAATGAGTAATAAGTTCACTTAATTAAAAACAACAACAATAATAATAATAATAATGTACGTATTTGTATACAATGTCATTATTTAATCAGACATGTTTATTTTTGTACTTATATAAAATGTCAACATATTCTCTGCTTGACACACTGTTACTTTCTTTTTCAAGAATCTGACCTTTTTGAGTTTAGCTTCTAGTTTGATTATATTCATCAGCAATGGTGTTCTGCAAGGCCCTCGACAGGTGTCCTCTGGCCTTTTTTTTTTTGTTATATATTGTAAGCTGTAGCTCAGTGGTAGACCACTCAGCTATACATCAAATTCCATCATTATTCTGGATATCCACTACTCACGCTTGAAATTGTGCAGATCTTTCTTCATTGGCTTCTCTAAATAACAAGTGTTCATGGGATAGTAAGTTATAAAACTGTTACAAATTTAAGTTCCCATTTATTTATACTTTCATTTTTAGCACTTAGTTCTGATTGTAATAATATTCTTTCATTTTATTCTGTTCATGAGGAGGTCATATAGTGCCTGGGGAATGAAGGCATTCAGGTTCAGTCTAAGGGGAGTTTAAGTTCCTTTCCTTGGATCAAAGGCCTCTCACTGGTACTATTTATTCATAGGTCCTCAGACATTTAAGCTATACCTTCAACCTGCTTAAGTGCCAGAAGTCTACTTTGTTTGTATTGTAATGGGAGGGGGATCATATAGTACCTGGAGAATGGGAACCATTCAGATTCAATCCAAGGGAAGAATAAGTCCAGTTCCTTGAATGGAGAGCCCTTTCACCAGCATCAAGGCATCTCCCTTGAGAGGGTGGGGTTAATCACAAGTCTGCAGATTTGTAATACAATTGAAAACCATTTTTAGCACTTTTTTGATTATAATAATAATAATTGAAAATCATTTTGCAAGTTCTGTCTAGCCACTGGCAGCTTCTTCATCTTATATATAAAAAGTAAAAGGACACAAGTGCAACTAATGTGACATTTATTGTGGCAACGTTTCGCTCTCCAGGAGCTTTATCAAGCTTGATAAAGCTCCTGGAGAGCGAAACGTTGCCACAATAAATGTCACATTAGTTGCACTTGTGTCCTTTTACTTTTCATATTGTCGGTAATTCTACCAACTTTATTACAATCTTATATATAAATGTAAAATATAGTACCTGGGGAATCGAAGATTATTAGGTTTGATCCAAGGAAGGGAATGGTAGCTCCAGTTTCATAAGTAGAGACTTAACAGCATTAAGGCCTCTGCCCCCCCCCCCCCATAAGGTGATTTATGTTGAGTCAGCTCAAGGTGGAAGATACTGTACTATAAGGCAGATAGGTACATGATGCCCACACAAATACAGTAATTTGGAAAAAAATAGTTCTGAAATAATATGTGGCAGCTTATTGCCAACTTTACAACACCAACTATTAGTAGTCCAGGGTATTTCAACATCCCTTAAAACCAGCTAAGCAGTGGATGTACAGTATGTAAAGACATGCATTTAACTGCAATTCATGTCAGTGTAAGGGATTTAGCACTTTTTTGTGAATATACAATTTTAAGTTTTTGATGGCTTCCAAACTCAAAATGGGAAATGGAACATAATTCTTCCTCTATAAGCCATGCATGTAATAAGAGGTGACTAAAATGCTGGGAGCAAGGGGCTAGTAACCCCTTCTGTATACATTACTAAACTTAAAAAGAGAAACTTTTTTTTTTCTTTTTGGGCCACCCTGCTTCAGTGGGATACAGCTGGTTTGTTTAAAGAAGACCTGTACAATACATGTGAAATGAGAGAAAAAATGAAGCACTGGATGTGTTCCCCCCATAAAGCTAGAGCAACTAAAGAAGTCACATACTACCATAGCTGAGTGAGTACAGTATGGGCAGTGCACAGGTATTACAAAACCATACCACACTTTTGAAGTAATTTTTTAAGAAAAAATATGATGTACACTCAATTATAAATAAAGTGATTTTTTTCATCTACATTTAATTGCCCAGTGTTTTATTGTACTACTGCAATTTAGTACTGCATACTCCAAAAGTTAAATATCACATTGAAATGGTTCCGTTACAATATTTAATTACTATTAGTGTGTAATCATCATCCTAGTCTTAATATTCTTTAATTTACAGGTCTTTTTAAGTCATTACACTCTTCAGTCTGTATATGATTCACGTTAAAATTATTTTCAAAAATATTGGTTTTAGATTTTATTCTCTTGGAGTTCCTTGTATCCTCACTCTTTTCTTCAAGATCATCATTTTCTGCACACACTCTCTTCGTTGTCTTCTCCCTTTCACACTGATCCTTCATCACAACATGTTGGTATTTTCTTGCACCATCAGCAGGAACAAAACCGTAAGTTTTGTCGACTGCTCCCAAAGCATGCAGACAAACGGCTGCTGCTCCCTGTTCAGCGTATCTTTTGCTCTTTTCCCTGTAAGTAATAAAATTTGTTCAACTTGGTCTCTCAAAGATAGGAATTACAGGATTATATCTGTTAACCTTTCATTACAAAATGAAATATGTTCTATTTCAATGTATACATAAGCATACCGTAAGTCCAATTTTGGACTTTTGGTATGCTTACTGAAAAACCTGAGAGTGCACAGTGAATGTGTGTAGTGTGGAGTTCTCATTATAAATACTTTATAATGAGAAGCTATTCCAGAAAGACTGCCCATACCTACTATTAGTATAACTTAGATTATGGAGTTTAAGCCATAAACTGTGGCATACTCAGAAAATAAATTTCCTGTGAATGTTGCAAGATGTTGGGAATTTTTTTTTAAAGATTGAAAGGATGCATTTTTATGAGTTTAATAAGAAAAAATGAGTAGAATCTGATAAAAACTTACAATTGATTACATTAAATAGAAGTCTGTTTTGACAGTAATGATAATAAAGAGGGGTCTTTTTTTATTGTAGTGTAAAGCACCCTTCTGGCAAGACAGTGATGGAGTGAATGATGGTGAAAGTTTTTCTTTTTCGGGCCACCCTGCCTTGGTGGGAATCGGCCGGTGTGATAATAAAAAAAATAAATATAAATAATAATAAATAGATGTCCATTAAATCCAAGGTGTACTGTCATTGCTCTGCCTTACATTGGAATTTGCTAACACAATCGCATTGTTCAACAAACTCTTACCATATTTTTGTATGAATACAGAACTTATTTTTCAAAATATGATAAATAATTCATCACACTGTTTATTGAAATAAAAACTGAAGTAAATTTTACTTAGTGATATCATTCTGCAGTCTGCATAAAACACAACTTGCCTGGGTATATAAAATAATGTACAGAGCAAGTAACAAAAAAAAACAAAAAAAAAAAACAAATGTTGAGCTACACAACTAGGGAAAGAATGCTGAATTTTCAGAGAAATACAAGGATAAAGATTATTATTAAAATGAAGTGCTAAACTCAAAAGTTGTAATAAATGAAAATTTACTAACTTGTAATACTGAATACACTAGTACATATACAGTGGTACCTCGGGATACGGACTTAATTTATTCCAGAAGGCTGTTTGAGTGCCAATACCGAACGAATTTGTTCCCATAAGGAATAATGTAAGTTAGATTAATCCGTTTCAGACCTCCAAAAATACACTTACAAAAGCACTTACATAAATACACTTACATAACTGTTCAAGTTTTGAGCTGTTCATATCCTGAGGTACCACTGAATAATGAAAATTAATGTACCAGCTATAGATGTCAATTTTTTTTTTCCAACAACCTGGCCATATCCCACCAAGGCAGGGTGACCTAAAAAGAAAAATGAAAGTTTCTCCTTTTAAATTTAGTAATGTATACAGGAGAAGGGATTACTAGCCACTTGCTCCCGGCATTTTAATCACCTCTTACGACACACATGGCTTACGGAAGAATTCTGTTCCACTTCCCCATGGAGATAAGTGGAAATAAACAAGAACAAGAACTATAGGCAGTTGGAGGCAGTGGAGATCTCCTGTCTAAGGGTAATGTGTGGTGTAAATATTATGCAGAAAATTCGGAGTGTGGAAATTAGGAGGTATGGAGTTAATAAAAGCATTAGTCAGACGGCTGAAGAGGGTTTGTTGAGGTGGTTTCGTCATTTAGAGAGAATGGATCAAAGTAGAATGACATGGAGAGCGTATAAATCTGTAGGGGAAGGAAGGCGAGGTAGGGGTCGTCCTTGAAAAGGTTGGAGGGATGGGGTAAAGGGGTGTTGTGGGCGAGGGGTTTGGACTTCCAGCAAGCGTGCGTGAGCGTGTTAGATAGGAGTGAATGGAGACGAATGATATTTGGGACCTGACGAGCTGTTGGAGCGTGAGCAGGGTAATATTTAGTGAAGGGATTCAGGGAAACCGGTTATTTTATATAACCGGACTTGAGTCCTGGAAATGGGAAGTACAATGCCTGCACTCTAAAGGAGGGGTTTGGGATATTGGCAGTTTGGAGGGACATATTGTGTATTTTTATACATATATACTTCTAAGCTGTTGTATTCTGGGCACCTCTGCAAAAACAGTGATTATGTGTAAGTGAGGTGAAAGTGTTGAATGATGATGAAAGTATTTTTTTTTTTGGGGGGGGGATTTTTTCTTTCTTTTTGGGTCACCCTGCCTCGGTGGGAGATGGCCGACTTGTTAAAAAAAAAAAAAACTATAGTAAGTGTAAGTAGTAGCAGCAAGGTGTACCTGAAACCTTGCAAATGTCAAATATATTTATATAAAATTTTGTATACGAGAGAAAATTGGAAGTATAATTTGGGGAAAAATCAGTTACCAAATATTCACCTGAGTGTTGAAGCATACTTGATGCCATCCACAACTACTGAAGCCGAGAAGAATTTATCAACAACAACATGGTCATAGTGAGGATGAGATAACTTGTTACGAAACACATACGTCTGTAATATGATCATTGCACCAGTTACCATGAGTTTAATATTACAGTTCTTATATTATTATAATAAAAAAAAAGCGCTAAGCCACAAGGTACAGTTCTTATAAATACTCTACAGTCATTCACAACCCTTTAAGGAAAGCCTCACATATTATATAGAGTATGAAGTACCAGCTTAGAGCACCTCACCTGATAAAGTCTGTATATCAAGAATACTGTGCAATCCAAAGTCATTTTGTATGGGGGTTTACTGTACGTGTCACCTTTCAGTGGTGTAGACTCTACATTATCTGTCTTCTACTGGCTTTCCTGGGTCATGATTCATAGCCAAATACAGTCTACTACTGTATGACGTAACAAATACGAATGTAAACAATACTCACATTTAGAAGCATTTTTGGAAGATCGGCATTATTAAAATTTCCACGTATAAACTGGATGGGCATCTCAACAATTTCTTGGCCATTTTCTTCTCTCTTGATAATACCTACATGGTCGGCACTAGGAGGCATGGCTGTCTTGCCACTCTTGTGTTCAAAGTGCATACAATTACGAGACTCACTTTGTTTTGCCAACTGTGTCTTGAAGTATTCATCCAGACCCCACATTACACTGTAATATACAATAAATGAGTAAAAAAATTGACAGTTACTATATTATACACATTTAATTTAATGATACACAAAATTATTAAGCGTGTGAAATTAATGATACACAAAATTATATTGAGTGTGTGAAAGACTAAGTACTTGCTTTAACATGATATCTAACATGGAAAATACGTGTCATAGCAGCACAAGCACCCTCTGCATTTTATTACAGACAGAAGCAGCTACTTGCTTCATGTTTTCCTGATAAATACAACAATACAGAAAAACACTCCTGCCCTCCACACACTGCTGTTTGTTCTCTCCCTCTATACCCCTACCTACCATACCTTCTCTTCTCCCCTGGTGAGGGGCTCTTGATCTAGGGAATTGGATCTGTGCTCCAGTTTCCCGAATTAAGCCTGAATACCTTCCACACACACCCCACACAGGCGCTGTATAATCGTACGGGTTTAGCACTTCCCCCTTGATTATAATAATAAAAAATTCTCTTCTCCTTGCACTCACCCACCACCACTTCCTTTTCCCACCATTGCCACCACATCCCCTCCTCTCCCTCCCAACTTTTGATGTTATCCTACCTCAAATCATTTCAAGGCCAAGCCCTATAAGGTATACTAATACCTCCTGGGATGTGACCCACTACAATTGACTAACACCCAGGGAACAATTGGTGTGAGAAAACACGCCCAACATATCTATCCATGCCATGGATCGATCTACAGACCCCTCAGTATGCAAGCTGAGGGTGCTATTAACTGAACTACAGGATGCCTATGTACAGACCACTTAAACAGATAAAGTAAAAAATAAGTTATGAAAAAAACAGGGACCATAAAATTTCATACATCTGGAATTTTCGCTTCTTTTTGATTATAATAATAATTCAAAAATCCAAAACACCCTCCGATCAACTGGAGTCAGATAATGGGTGATCAATTGCTTACCATATTTCTTGCAGAGTCTGTGTTTCCAGGAAAGCTTTGCCCCGAGGAGTATCCTGAAGGTCCCGCAACATGTTTTGAATGGTGTATTTGCTGTATGTGAATGGGTTATCATAATCTATACAGTACCTCAAGTAAGCCTCAGCCTGGAAGATGGAAATTATGATAATTATTCTTCATGGAAAAATTTTCGTAGGAACTGTATACTATTTCTTACATGTATGACACCTATCACAAGGTAATACTGTACATGACAAATATTTCTCAAATGCTTTTTGCCAATGAGAGTCCAAGCACTCAAATTTCTTCAAAAACCTTCCTCACCAGTCAAGAACCTACCATTGTTAACCCTTTCACGGTCCGTGCCATAGATCTACGGCTTTATGTTCAGGGCCCAAACTGTAGATCTATGCCATGAGCTCAGCTCACTCTGATAAGCTGTGAGTGGTAAATTTGGGCCTAGATATGAGAGAATACATTTATGTGGTATGTGTGCGCACCACATAAAACAAATCCTGCAGCACACAGTGTATAATGAGAGGAAAAAAAACTGAAACTGTGACTTTGCAATGTTTTTTCATATGTTTTTTATAGTTGTATTTGCGATTTCTTGGTCTCATTTGATAGAATGGAAGACATATTACAGAAATAGAAATGATTTTGATTGGTTTTAGCACTGGAAATGGCTTGAAACTGAGCTCAAAGTAGCGGAAACGTTAAATTTTTGCCGATGTTCAAGTTTAAACAAACGACATCACACATCTAATACACGCCAGCTGCTGGGTCTAATATACATTCACAAATGTGGTGATGATATTTATACAATTATTACAATATTGCATAACAGTAAATCTTCAATTTTTTGGTCTGAATAAAAATTCATTATGTGAATAAAAAATCAAAATGGAATTCATTTGTAAAGCCTCAAAACATAACTAATGAACAGAGGAAATGTTAGTTTATTGCCAGGAATACCTACATTGTTTATTCTGGACCCTATTTTGAAATTGGAATATTTTGAACTTTGTGTTAAATTGGCCAAATTACCAATTTCCGATCTCTTTATTTTGTAATTGAAACAGTTGACTTGGCAATTTCTTGTGCTCAATCGATAGAATAGAAGTACAGTAATATTAGTGAAATAGCTAAGAATTTGGTAGACTGGAATAATGTAATTGGCCTAAAATGGGAGTCAAAGTCGGCAAAATCGCCGATTTGTAAATATCGCTGACATCAAAATTCGCAAGAGCATAATTTCGTCAATTTTCCATCAAATTTCGTACTTTTTGTTTTATTACCTTCAGAAAAAGATTCTCTATCATTTCATAAGAAAAAATAACAATTTTTTTTTTTTTAAATTCTTGGACCCTGGTGAGCACTGAAATTTGGCCTCTGGACCCTGAAATTGTTAAAGGCTCAGTAAGAATCAATAAAGTATTTATTAGTAAAATTCTGCACCTTGATTTTTAATCATGCATAAAACACCAGCATTCTTTAGGTACAATACTTGCACATCAACATATTAAAATGTGAGGATGGCTGAATCTGTGTGTAGGCTCAAGGTTGTGCATAAAAATTATAATAAAATAATAAAATTAAAATCTTCAAAAATTACAAAAAAAAAAAAATTTAGGTTTATAACATTTTTATGTTGACTTTTGATGGTGACATGTATGATTAACTGTGACATTACTATTATATAAACCCATAAAAACTGTTGTATACAGGACACAGAAACTGACCACTGTGTCAAGTGGAAGTGGACCTTCAGGCCTGAGAATAGAACAGTTCCACATGGCGGCTCGTGCAATCATCACACTTGATGCTCCAGTCTCTTGTCGAAATTTCTCAATGTCCTCATGGCACTTTATCTCTTTTGAACCGCCACTGGAAATAATAAAATTATTCTTAAATTTGCATAGTATGTGTTTCCTTTAAATATTATCAAATCATAACTTGGTAGTTCTAGGTAGTAGGTTGGTAGACAGCAACCGCCCAGGGAGGTACTACCGTCCTGCCAAGTGAGTGTAAAACGAAAGCCTGTAATTGTTTTACATGATGGTAGGATTGCTGGTGTCTTTTGTCTGTCTCATAAACATGCAAGATTTCAGGTATGTCTTGTTACTTCTACTTACACTTAGGTCACACTACACATACATGTACAAGCATATATATACACACCCCTCTGGGTTTTCTGCTATTTTCTTTCTAGTTCTTGTTCTTGTTTATTTCCTCTTATCTCCATGGGGAAGCGGAACAGAATTCTTCCTCCGTAAGACATGCGTGTCATAAGAGGCAACTGAAATGCCGGGAGCAAGGGGCTAGTAACCCCTTCTCCTGTATATATTACTAAATTTGAAAGGAGAAACTTTCGTTTTTCCTTTTGGGCCACCCCACCTCAGTGGGATATGGCTGGTACATTGAAAGAAGAACTTGGTAGTTGTCCAAGGTAGCCCAAAATTGTGAGTAGGTGTGTCAAATGCTCATTTCTTTCTTTCAACACACCAGCCGTATCCCACCAAGGCAGGGTGGCCCAAAAAGAAAAACGAAAGTTTCTCTTTTTAAATTTAGTAATTTATACAGGAGAAAGGGTTACTAGCCCCTTGCTCCTGGCATTTTAGTTGCCTCTTATGACACGCATGGTTTACGGAGGAAGAATTCTGTTCCACTTCCCCATGGAGTCAAATGCTCATATAATATTAATAATCAAGATTCTGTAAGAATATTACTATATTTTTCCTTGTGTGCTGTAATTTTTTATAAAAGTCAATATTTATAGTAGAGTACTCACTTTGCAATAACTGGGATGTTAAGAGCTTTAGCTATTTCTCTGATCATGTCATTATGATTGGGATGGTTGGGTCTCTCCTCTTTAGTGCGGCCATGGATAGCAATGGCAGATACCCCACATTTCTCTATCACCTTACATAGTTCTATTGTCTCTGACAGTGTCTTTAAAAGACGAATCTTGCAAGTTACTGGTATGCAAAGGCCTTGAACAAGAGTGCTGAGTATAGATTTCACCTGAAATAAAAAATCTTTCTTATACAATACTGTATTATTTATGGCAAATGTAAATAGCACACATATTCTTCGTAAATCGCATTCTTGGCCCCACAAGAAATAGTAATCATTTTACAAATTCAAATAAACAATTCATCATTGTCTTTCTTACAAATTAACTACACTGAACAAACAGAAAGTTCTTGAGTACTGGAGGTGGGAAGTGCAGTGCCTACACTCTAAGGACAGATGGGATGTTGTTTGGAGGGCCATTTGAAATGTGATGCTAGTACATTTCTCTAAGACACCAAAAGAATAAGTAATGGTGACTGCTTCCTTTTCTGAGTCACCTTACCTTTCCAGGAAAAAGCTGATGTGTTAGAAAAATCTCACTTCATGTTACTGTAATTATTTTGTACCAGTCATAATTAAACTTTTATCCTCTTAAAAATTTTTACATTTAGCATTATATGACAGGCCAAACACAAATGTTGAAAAATATTAAAAATATCCATCAACTTTTCTGCAGACTACTGAGTAAATAACAAACCTTGTCTGGTTGAGTAAGGAGAGCTGCTCCCATGCCTCCCTTCAAGCTGAATGTTTTTGGGCACCCCATATTTACATCCAAGCCAGCTACATATGGTTCACTGTTGGCAGGACATTGCAATAAGTGACTACACACCCATGTATAAAACTATGATCTTACATTTGAGTTATCAATTGTTACTTCAACTTCCAGGAATGTAATAAAGAATATTCATCAAAGCAATAACACTGCACATGTCTGCTTAGTAATCATAATTGCTACCTATTCTTTCACTATCTTTTATAGTCACTTTGTATCCGGTATCTGTAGCACCTCACTACCAAGATATATTTAGTTACTAGTAGTAATACTTCTATTGTGACTCATTACACCTCTAATCATTTTCAATACAAAAACCCATTTCCACCTTTCATGGAGTGGAAAACAACTATCAGGAACTGATGGACAAATATTAAAGAAAAAAAGAGGGTTAAAAATGAACATTAAAACTCAGCTTTTCACACTAAAACCTAACACTTCGTATTAACATCCAATATTTTGTATATTACCATTCCAACTCATTAGCACTGCAAAAACTTAATACAACCACAATGGTATAGCAAAATAAGAGCAGTAACTCAGCCCTCTCGTAGAATTATTGTTAAATACAATTTTAATTTTATTATATATAAAAAGCACTTGAATCACTTCTAACATTATGATAATTACATTTTTTTTTTTTTTTTCAACAAGTCGGCCGTCTCCCACCGAGGCAGGGTGACCCAAAAAAGAAAGAAAATCCCCAAAAAGAAAATACTTTCATCATCATTCAACACTTTCACCACACTTGCACATTATCACTGTTTTTGCAGAGGTGCTCAGAATACAACAGTCTAGAAGCATACACATATAAAGATACACAACATATCCCTCCAAACTGCCAATATCCCAAACCCCTCCTTTAAAGTGCAGGCATTGTACTTCCCATTTCCAGGACTCAAGTCCGACTATATGAAAATAACCGGTTTCCCTGAATCCCTTCACTAAATATTACCCTGCTCACACTCCAACAGATCGTCAGGTCCCAAGTAACCATTCGTCTCCATTCACTCCTATCTAACACGCTCACGCACGCTTGCTGGAAGTCCAAGCCCCTTGCCCACAAAACCTCCTTTACCCCCTCTCTCCAACCCTTTCGAGGACGACCCCTACCCCGCCTTCCTTCCCCTATAGATTTATATGCTTTCCATGTCATTCTACTTTGATCCATTCTCTCTAAATGACCAAACCACCTCAACAACCCCTCTTCTGCCCTCTGACTAATACTTTTATTAACTCCACACCTTCTCCTAATTTCCACACTCCGAATTTTCTGCATAATATTTACACCACACATTGCCCTTAAACAGGACATCTCCACTGCCTCCAACCGTCTCCTTGCTGCTGCATTTACCACCCAAGCTTCACACCCATATATGAGTGTTGGTACTACTATACTTTCATACATTCCCTTCTTTGCCTCCATAGATAACGTTTTTTGACTCCACATATACCTCAATGCACCACTCACCTTTTTTCCCTCATCAATTCTATGATTAACCTCATCCTTCATAAATCCATCCGCCGACACGTCAACTCCCAAGTATCTGAAAACATTCACTTCTTCCATACTCCTCCTCCCCAATTTGATATCCAATTTTTCTTTATCTAAATCATTTGACACCCTCATCACCTTACTCTTTTCTATGTTCACTTTCAACTTTCTACCTTTACACACATTCCCAAACTCATCCACTAACCTTTGCAATTTTTCTTTAGAATCTCCCATAAGCACAGTATCATCAGCAAAAAGTAACTGTGTCAATTCCCATTTTGAATTTGATTCCCCAAAATTACATTATCATTATCAATTTGCTGCTTTAATAATGACCAACGTACTTTCACATTTCATAAATTCTAATCACAAAGCAAGTAACTATTCAAAGTCTATTTTTCTCATTATGCAACTGATACCTATAATTTGTTCCATGTTATCTGCAATGTCAGCAAATTTAGACTAAAGGGGAAAGATCCCCAACATTTATGCTGAGAGAAATACTGAGTCTGAAGTCAGGCAGGAATCTTATAGTAAGACTGGCACCCTTCCAGGACAAGACTCATACCCCAATGCACAAATTATTCAAACCTCTCCACTGCATTAAGGAAGGTAACCAAGCATCACTCACATAATTAATTTATTGTAAATCCCTACAGGAAGACTTGGATAAATTAAGCAAGTCGAGTAACAAATAAAGGATGGAATTTAATACATATAGGTATCATGTAATGTAAATGAAAGAAAGCAAGAATAAACCAAATGACAAAAATGGATAACTTTTTAATACACTGGTCATCTCACACCAAATTTGGGTGACCCATAAAAGAGAACACATTCATTATCCTTCACTCAATAGCTGTCTTACCAGAAGTGCACACACATTACAAGTAAATGACCGATAAAATATTCAAACACAGACAAACATCAGACACAGACAGACTGAGGAGTCACAATGGACAAAAAATATCCCTCACATACTTTATATACCAGTCATATAGATTAAGAAATACTGAAAAAAGCCATTCACAAAATATTTGTTTTAACACAACAGCTATCTCCCACCGAGGCAAGGTGACCCGAAAAAGAAGAAATGTAAAGTTTTCTTCTTTTTACATTTAGCAATTTATACAAGAGAAGGGGTTACTAACCCATTGCTCCCAGCATCTTAGTGGCCTCTTACGACATGCATGGCTAATGGAGAAAGGATTCTTCACTTCCCCATGGAGATTCACAACATATGTTAGACAAAAAAATGGATAATGTGATGTTTTCTCCCCAAAAAATAAAAATGTGGATAAGACAGAAATGCTGAAAATTATAAAAATACTGATTAGGTGACAGTAGGAATAAGAGATGTAATTACCACATGCTGCATAAGATAAAAGGATATGAAAAATAGACAAAGAAAATGTCTTAGCACCAACAGGAAAAACAAGAGGCCACAGTTGTAAACTGAGTATAATACAGTGAGAAAGTTTATGTACTAAAAAGTTTTCCTTCACAGAGTGGTATAAAAGTGGAAGACGATGCAACCAAAAGTATTAAGTGTTATAACCAGTAGATATGTTAAAAATTATTTAATAGACTAAACACTGAAGATGGGACATCAAAAGCATAGCTTGGCTCCTGTAGCTATAAATAGGTACAGTAATCACAAATACAAAAGCTAATACACGTAGAATTGTAAATACTGTTTCTTCAAGCCTTACACCATCTTGCCAACTTTGAGAGCTCTCTGTGCATCACTCGTTCCAATCTGGAAAATCACCTTTGTTCTTTCTCTCTCACACGTACGAAAGAAAACTGTTCCATCTGACTTGTCAATGAAGTCTACTGTACCCAAGGCATCTGAAATAATACAAAAAAATTATATATGAGAAATGGATTACTGTCCAGCAGATATTTCATAATATGCCTAATTCTTAACTGCATTACAGTTCTGGAACACTCTACTGAACCCTTCATTTGATGGACCTCAAGGTATTGGACCTCAGAAATACAAGACAAAATCTGCTGGGTCAAATGATTCAGAAACAATGGACATTAATACTACCAGGCACCTGCTTTCTTCTACTAGTCCATTAAATTTAGGTTTTACTGTATGTAAATTAAAAATCACCAATGTCTAAAAGAAATCCATGAAGTAATATAGTAACTAATATAAATGATGGTACACCATTTAAATTAATGGACATGTTTCCCCCTCCCCCCCTCAAGGAAGGTTCCTTGATGCTGAGAAGGGGCTCTTGATCCAAAGAACTGAACATGACCTCCTCTTTCTTGGATCTAACTTGATTACCTCCCATCCCCCCTGACACTTCATGACCCCTACAGGCATAGTACTTCCTCTATGAATGTAACGACAATAATAATAATTTCTACATATACATGTCCTTGGAGGCAAAGAGGGGAATGTATGAGAGTATAGTTTTACCAACGCACTTATATGGGTGTGAAGCATGAGTGATGAATGTTGCAGCAAGGAGAAGGCTGGAGGCAGTGGAGGTGTCATGTCTGAGGGCAATGTGTGGTGTGAATATAATGCAGAGAATTCGTAGTTTGGAAGTTAGGAGGTGGTGCGGGATTGCCAAAACTGTTGTCCAGAGGGCTGAGGAGGGGTTGTTGAGGTGGTTCAGACATGTTGAGAGAATGGAGCAAAAGAGAATGACTTCAAGAGTGTATCAGTCTGTAGCGGAAGGATGGCGGGGTAGGGGTCGGCATAGTAAAGGCTGGAGGGAGGGGGTAAAGGAGGTTTTGTGTGCAAGGGGCTTGGACTTCCAGCGGGCATGCGTGAGCGTGTTTGATAGGAGTGAATGGAGACAAATGATTATTAAATACTTGACGTGCTGTTGGAGTGTGAGCAAAGTAACATTTATGAAGGGATTCAGGGAAACCGGCAGGCCGGACTTGAGTCCTGGAGATGGGAAGTATAGTGCCTGCACTCTGAAGGAGGGGTGTTAATGTTGCAGTTTAAAATCTGTAGTGTAAAACACCCTTCTGGCAAGACAGTGATAGAGTGAATGATGGTGAAAGTTTTTCTTTTTCGGGCCACCCTGCCTTGGTGGGAATCGACCAGTGTGTTAATAAAATAATAAAATAATAATAATAATAATAATAATAAATATGTACATGACAACTTTTTTTTTTCAAGATTCTGTTGCCATGAGGTTCATTACTTGGCAATGATAATAATAATAATAAAATAATCAATTTATGCACTAAACTCTTGGCACTGATAAGAATTTATTACATTTTTATTGGTTATATATGTACATACTGTTATATGTTTCATTTGAATAAAGAGAAAAAGTGTCTCCCATGTGGATTTATACCTTCACAAGGAAGTACGTACTATACACAAGACACTGGATTAACTATCACTTATACATACAGTTATCAATGAGTCATTGTTGTACTTACTATTTTCTCTTTTAACAGAACGCAGCATCTTGAAATCGACCGTCTCCTCTGTGTACACCAGGTCTGTGCCATAGTCAATGGCTAATAACCTGAATGGTAGGGTACACACCCTAACCATTGGTGCCACTATTATCTTATCATTATACTGTTTATTCATCTTTGCTAATCAGCCTGAAAGAAAATGAATCTCATGGTACTTTGCAGCATACAGCATTTTATAAAATGAAAGTGTATTTTTGTACTGTTAATTTTATATTTAAAAAATCGAACATGACTCATACTGAAACACGGTAAAGTGTCCTTATAAATGAAGCTTTTCACACTACATAATAATTGCTAAAGTATTCTATGACATTCAAATATGTTCTTATGACAAATCTTACATTTAAATTTCCTTCTATTATGCCTTCAACAAATGTTGCTTTCTTTCACAGCTCTTCATGTACAGTATTTCAAATTCATCCAGTAATCCATTTTACATCATATAATTATGTAAAGAATACAAAAAATAGGCAGTATCCTAATTATAAATCATACAAAAGTTTTCTAAGAGTGTGAGCACAGATGAGAGAAAGGAATGGCTAAAAATGAATACATGGTGTTCTAAGACAGCTACATAAGACAGTCTGTCATGATGTGGTCTGGTGAACACATCCTGGCAAGTCCCATAGACATATTAACACACATGAAAGGTGGACCTCACCACCTAAACCCAGGCATTGCAACATGGTTTGCACTCTAATTGAAACAGTGATTGCCATGCCCCACGATCTCTTTGCTATTGTTATTATAAATACAATACAGTATTATTATTATTATTATTATTATTATTACATGTATTACAAGTAGGAGGAGGAAGCATTAAACTTGTAGGGCTTATACAGCACCTGGAAATTAGGCAATTGGTTTTGATACAAGGAGAGAATAGGTCCAATTCCTTGGATCTAGAGCTCTTAAGCATGAAGAAGCCTTCTCTTGACTGCATAAAATATGCTGAATAGAAAAAGGGAGATGGTGTTTGGTGTCATTCCCAATGTGTCAAGCCGGCCATGCAGGCTTGACAATTACTGTATTATTACAGTACGTATTATTATATTTATGAAGAAGTACTAAACTGTAGGGGTTATGTAACACTTGAGGAATAGCACCATGAAGGGAGGACAGACAAGCAAACTTAAAAATTAAAAGGAAAACTTAATGCCTTGTGCAGAGCGAGATGTCCGTAAACTATCAAGGGACGGTGCTGAAATAAAGAGGAAATCAGTAAACTGATCAGTGTGGAGGAATTTGAACAACAGAAAATCCATGAATTTTTACAGGAGCTAACTCAAATGACCATTTTACCACTGCAACCTTTGGGTACAGGTGCTTACCTACTCAAATATGAGCGAGGGTGACTAATGTCCTAGACCAGACTGCCATAACATTTGGTAAGCCAGGTTACCTACTGCCCTTTTTGGGCAGGAAGCGGGGGTTTATAGTGCTTATGGTTAACTGTAGTGTTCAGTAACACATGAAGGACCTGGGTTCAACCCCCTTTGACAAGGGAAACAGTTGTGTTTGTTACACGTCCTCTTCACCTACATAAAGGCACCGGGTGTTAGTTGACTGGTGTGGGTCACATCCTGGATGATAGGTTTAAGATGACCTAATGAAAATAAGCAAGACAGTCTGATGACACGGCTTTAATTCGTTATCTTGGGTCACTAAACCTCTGGATTATTATATTCAGAGGAAAGTGCTAAACCCATAGGGGACATATAACCTGTGGAATAGGAGGCAATAATGTTATATCTAAGGGAGAAAACCCATTCAATGCCTTGGATCAAGAGCCCCTCAACACTCAGGTACCTACTTGCTGCTAGGTGAAGAGGAACAGCAGGTTTAAGGTATTATTATAATTATGGGGGAGCGCTAAACCCGTGGGGGGGTGGAAGGTATTCAGGCTCAATTCAGGGAACCAGAGCACAGATCCAATTCCCTAGATCAAGAGCCCCTCACCAGCATCAAGGAACCTCCCTTGAGTGGAGGTGTAAGGTAACGAATACCCAGGTACCTACTTAATGCTAGGTGAACAGCGACAGCAAATGTGAAGTAATTAACACCCAGGTACCTACTTACTGCTAGGTGAACAGTGACAGCAGGTGTAAGGTAACTAACACCTAAGTACCTATTTACTACTAAGTGAACAGTGACAACAGGTGTAAGGTAACTAACACACCCAGGTACCTACTTACTGTTAGGTGAACAGTGACAGCAGGTGTAAGGTAACTAACATCCAGTTACCTACTTACTGCTAGGTGAACAGTGACAGCAGGTGTAAGGTAACTAACACCCAGGTACCTACTTCCTGCGAAATGAACAGTGACAGCAGGTGTATGGTAACTAACACCCAGGTACCTGCTTACTGCTAGGTGAACAGTGACAGTAGGTGTAAGGTAACTAATACCCAGGTACCTACTTACTGCTAGGTGAACAGTGACAGCAGGTTAAGATAACTAACACCCAGGTACCTACTTACTGCTAGGTGAACAGTGACAGCAGGTGTAAACTAACACCCACGTACCTACTTACTGCTAGGTGAACAGTGACAGCAGGAGTAAGGTAAACTTAATACCAGGTCCCCTACTTTACTGCTAGGGGGAACAGGGGACAGCAGGTGTAAGGTAACTAACACCCAGGTCCTACTTACTGCTAGGTGAACAGTGGCAGCAGGTGTAAGATAACTAACACCCAGGTACCTACTTACTGCTAGGTGAACAGTGACAGCAGGTGTAAGGTAACTAACACCCAGGTACCTACTTACTGCTAGGTGAACAGTGACAGCAGGTGTAAGGTAACTAACACCCAGGTACCTAGGTGAACAGGGACGGCAGGTGTAAGGTAACTAACACCCAGGTACCTAGGTGAACAGGGACGGCAGGTGTAAGGTAACTAACACTCAGGTACCTAGGTGAACAGGGACAGCAGGTGTAAGGTAACTAACGCCCAGGTGCCTACTAACACCCAGGTACCTAGGTGAACAGGGACAGCAGGTGTAAGGTAACTAGCGCCCAGGTACCTACTAACACCCAGGTACCTAGGTGAACAGGGACAGCAGGTGTAAGGTAACTAACACCCAGGTACCTACTAACACCCAGGTACCTACTAACACCCAGGTACCTACTAACACCCAGGTACCTAGGTGAACAGGAACAGCAGGTGTAAGGTAACTAACACCCAGGTACCTAGGTGAACATGGACAGCAGGTGTAAGGTAACATACCCAACGCTTCCACTCGTGCCGGGGATTGAACCTCGGACACTCAGTGTGAGGCGAGTGCCCTGCCTACGTAACACTATGTAACTTTAAGTTGTCTTAGTTTTAACACATTAAGAGTGTCTAGGGACTGCATGTTGGGCCCTGACACCAACCTGTATTCCTTTTTTATCATTGTTGTTGTTTGTGATGGGTTTAAGGGTTGTGAAGGATGCATGAGCCGTATAAACTACCAGTGAAACCTCGGGATCAAGAGCAGGTTTCTTCTCTGGATAACTGACCAAGTGAAGGTTTCTTCTCTGGATAACTGACCAAGTGAAGGTTTCTTCTCTGGATAACTGACCAAGTGAAGGTTTCTTCTCTGGATAACTGACCAAGTGAAGGTTTCTTCTCTGGATAACTGACCAAGTGCAGGTTTCTTCTCTGGATAACTGACCAAGTGAAGGTTTTTCCTGGATTTAACTGATTTCCAAAGTGAAGGTTTCTTTCTTTGGATAAGAGCAGCCCTTGTTTTTCAAATTCTTACCCATTACTCAAATGGTATCATGTCCCATAAAAACACGCATGAACCGGCCTCTGATAACTTTCCCAGTTCCCCAAAAGGGAAAGTTCCTTGGTACACTGCTTTTCCTATACTTTCAAAAATGATTCTTAACGTACCAACCTGAAACCATTTCCGATGTTGGACACGCTTATTCATTACTCACCTTAACTTCCAACCCTAAACACCTTTTTGAATGAGGGGCTGATTAAAATATCGATTGGATGCAGCCAATAATTACGCTTAACACTGACAAAACCTACCCATATTATGTTGGTAGCAGAGGGAGGAGATGCACAAAATAACTTTAAAATTACAACACTCTATATTACCCGAAATAATGGGGAAAATTCCTAGGCTATACCTTGACAACAACCCGAATTTCAGCACCCATATCCAGATATAGCCATTAAAGTATTCCAAACGGGGTTGGAATCCTCTCCAAGTCGTTATAGTGCGCAAATGGCCTTCTACCTTTCACTACTTATTTATCCAAACCTCACCTTGTATTTGTGCTTGGGGATCAACTGCGCAACACACCTAAAGCTTAATAACCAACAAAAGCTGAGTAGAATTAATCACTAAATCCCATCCTGGCAACACACCCCCCACTCTTCTTGATCTAAAACTACCCATTCAGTAATCCACACTTACTACTGTGCAATCTATTCTACAGGGCCTTAAACTCTAATAATACCTTGACCTAAAAAAGCTTTCTTGATAGTTGGACGAACCCACAGCATAAACACCAGACCCCAAAATCCTCTACGACATTCCTCAGTTTATCCATAACCCTTTTCAAAAAATTCAATGTATGTTTAAAGCCCTAAAATCTGGAATACCTACTGAGAAAATCTAGAACTGCAGAACATTTTATCACCTTCCCAAATACCAAATTAGAAAAATTTATCTCCTGAACACCCGTCAACTAATACACGAATACCACCTGGTGGTCACATTACACTCATCACTCATTTGCCATAAACAGAAATATTAATCTAGTCTTAAAATAATGAATCCTGTGATACTCCAATACTGTAAATATGTTTCTGTGCCAAAACAAAAGCATTCAATGCTTAAACTCACAAACTTAGTATTTAGTCAAATTAGCCATAATACAAATTTCTCATAATTTGTAATATTTTACAATTAAGAATAAAACTAAGTATGCCCGAAATGCCTAGCCATGCTAAGCGTTCTAGTGGTACACTCTGTAATCACAATTTAATACATGTAAACCTAACAATAACAAATTTCCTGTAACTCAGCATTGTAATTCCTATTAGGAATAAACTTTGTAATTTGAATTTGAATTGAAAGTGCAGGTTTCTTACTCTGGATAAACTGACCAAGTGAAGGTTTATTATCTTGGATTACTGACAAAGCTGACAGGTTTCTTTTCTGGATACAGACCAATGTGAAGGTTTCTTCTCGGATAATGACTAAGTGAAGGTTACTTCACTGGATAACTGCACCAAGTGAAGGTTTCTTCTCTGGATAACTGCCCAAGTGAAGGTTTCTTCTCTGGATAACTGCCCAAGTGAAGGTTTCTTCTCTGGATAACTGCCCAAGTGAAGGTTTCTTCTCTGGATAACTGCCCAAGTGAAGGTTTCTTGAAGAATTGAGACACTTATGCAACACTGGGAATATATTATTGAAGAAGAAACGTTTCGCTCACAGTGGCTCATCAGTCAAGATACAAGTAGAAGTGGGTAGTAGGAGTAGAAGTTTGAGGTAATCAGCACTCATCCTGGATTCGATGTGTTCAGTCTCTCACTCTTGTAGGAAGTGCTAGCATTGGGCCAGGAGAGGTGGCTTATATTACTGCGGTATAAGATGACTTTGAAGCAGGAGGGAGCGGGATCACAGTGGGACTGCCACTAGTGTAAGTAGGTCGTCGTCAAGGTTGGGCAAAATGTTTTGTAGTTCTTTGTTCACAAGATCCCATGATGTTGCAGTGTCTGCAGATGTGGGATGAATGGTTTGAAAACGACAAGTTGAAGAAAGAATTGAGACCACTTATGCAAAACATGGGATATATTTATTGAAGAAAAGAAACCGTTTACGCCACCACAGTTGGCTTCATCACAAATAGTGATGGACTGAACACATCGAATCCAGGTTGAGGGACTGAATTACCTCAACTTCACTCTACTTACCCAATTCTACTTTGTATTGGTCTGATGAAGCCACTGTGTGGCGAAAACGTTGCTTCAATAAAGTTTTCCATGTGTTGCTAAGTGTCTCAATTCTTCACTTGTCGGTTTTCAAAACCATTCATCAACTGAGGTTTTTCTCTGGATAACTGCAAGTGAAGGTTTCTTCTCTGGATAACTGCCAAATGTGAAGTTTCTCTCTGGATAACTGCCAAGTGAAGGTTTATTCTATGGATAACTGCCAGTGAAGGTTTCTTCTTTGGTTAACTGCCAATGTGCAGGTTTCTTCTCTGGTTAATGCCAAAGTGAGGTTTCTTCTCGGATAAATTACAAAGTGAAGGTTTTCTTCTTGGATAAGACTCCCAAAGTGAAGGTTTCTTCTCTGGTTAACTTACCAAGTGAAGGTTTCTTCTCTGGATAACTGCCAGTGGAGTGAAGCTTTCTTTCTGGATAACTGCCCAAGTGAGGTTTCTTTTATGGATAACTGACCAGTGTAGATTTCTTTGAAGGATTTATTATCTGATAACTGACCAAGTGTAGATTTCTTGAAGGGTTTGCTCTCTGGATAACCTGCCAAGTTGCAGATTTCCCTATCTAGATAACTTGCCAATTGCTGGTTTCTTTTGAAGGGTTTCTTCTGTAATAATGTTCGTAGAATTAACGACATTTTGTTAAAGTAAAAGACACAAGTCGACAACTAATGTGACATTTTATAGTGCAACGTTCGCTCTCTGGAGCTTTGTCAAGCGATTACAAACAGATATGACACAGAGGGTTTATATAAAGGCTCAGAGTGAGGTGCAATACTAGTGAGGTTCATTTCGATGTTCACAGGTGGTAGTAGTTGTTGTAGTGACAAATGTGTCATGTAGTAGTAGTAAGCACATTATGTAGTGCAATTAATTCGTACATGAGTGAAAGGATATAAAGATATTACGTGGGTAACATAAAATTAGGTTGGTCATAACATAGTCTGGAAAAGAGTAGGCCTGTTTCAGTTTCACTCACTCTGTAATGTGCCTGGGTAGTATAAATGAGAGACCATATGTTGATGGCAGGGTTTTCTGTTATCAGGAGGATTCTAGCTAAAGACTTCCTGGAGATGGTGTAGCTGCCGTGTTTTGTTTAATAGTATTCGTAAACAGCGTCAGTGCTGATTCGTAGGCACTTGCGGTATGCGAGATTTGTTTCTTGATAACTAATTGGGCGTCCTGATTTTCATGAGATGGATAGGGGGATTTTTCGGTGTGTTGTTACTACAGCGTTGGTCAGGTTATCGGTCCTACATGGTAAACATGTGTTCATTGATGCGGGTTTGTCGAAGGTTTTTGCTGTTTTCCTACATTAAATCTTGTCACAGCTCCACAAGGGTTTAGTGTTTAAACCCCTGCATTGTTCTGGTTCATGTGCTTTGATTTTGCCTGGTTAGTCTTTATTGAAGTGCTTAGAAGAGATGGCGATCTGATGTTAGCTAGTGAAAGTACTTTGGAAACGTTTCAGTGCAACCTGGCTGTGGGGAAGAATTATAAACTTTGTTGGAGTTGGTGTTGGTGCGTGGAGAATTAATGATCTGAAGAGCTCTTTTCTTGCAGTCTTTGATGCAAAAGGAACGGAAAATGTAACTCAGTGAAGTTTGGTATTGTATGTACATTCCTCTTCAAAAAAATCAGGACTCCAAATTCAGTATGATCTTAGGAAAAACCCGATGATGATGCCTCTTTTGGTCTTGGTATCTTGACTGGAATAGAAGTGTGTGAGATCATTTTTATTGGTAGGTTTCCGATAACTTGAAATTCTTAGGTTGTTTTGTTTACTTTGTGAATGAGGACGTCGATGAAAGGTAGACTTGTGTTGAGGACTCCTTCTTCTAGATGTAAATGGATCGCCGGTTCAACTGCGTGGAGCTTGCTGAAGATTCCGTACATCAAAAACGTTTGGGAGTTTTTCGAGGGCGTCGTTCCATCGTACACGTACCCAAGTGACGCTTGAAGGGTTGATGTTTCGCGAAGTGTTCGGATCTAGGTGTTAATGTATAAGTTGGCTAGGACGGCACTGATGGGGGACCCATTCCGCGTAGGTTTTGTTTGTAAGAGCTTGTTGTTGAAAGAAAAACAGTTGAAATTAACACAGGAGTTCAATCAATTCAACAAATCTCCGGGAGGTAGAGGAAAGATTAAGGTTCTGATTGACTTTACGTCGTAGAACCTCGATGGCTTTTGTGGTAGGTACTTTGTGAAGAGGGAAGTCACGTCAAACTGCCTTAGTTTATTGTTACGGATGGAGAGGTTGCGGATGAGGTTGAGAAGGTCGCCTGAGTGTTTAAGATGAGCGGGTTCTGATGGTCCCCTGAAGGCAGGTAAGTTGTTTGGCCAAGAACTCCGGTAGTTTTGTGGAGCACATGCCTATACCTGTCGTGTGAGTATGAGAGGGAATATTGTGTTTATGGGTCTTG